CATCACGATCTTCCTCCCCATCTTCAATTTCGTTTGCTCCGCCTCCACCTCCGATGAGTGGATTGTCCCAAATTGTGAATCCTTCTCCAGCAAGTTGCACAGTGAAACGTTTGACAGAAACTGCATCAGTGCTTGTAGAGAAACATTCGGCAGAAACTGCATCAGTGCTTGTCATCCTGCTGTGAAGCGTCAAGCCCGAGGTGTTCCCTCGCGTAGGGTTTTCTTGTGGACTCGTGAAACTTCGAGGCGATGGGTCCGAGGTGTTCCCTCCCGTGGGGGCTTCCTTGGGACTCAGTCCAGCTCCACATGGCACTTTTTTTGCCAGAGGTGCTACTTCGCGTGGGGGCTTATGTTTGCGGTGTTCTGATCATGAAGCTTTCCATATAAACCGCTTTGAATTGAATGCGAGTATGGGCCAGTCGCTTTTTTACCACCCTCTCCCGATAGTCACTTCACGTTCTCCTCCGCAGCAGGAAGATCAGGATCACCGCCAGCAGGTAGAGGTACAGGTGCAGGTGCTTGGGTTGCTGGGCTTTGCCGTACATGCATGCGTATAGCAGAAGCAGGTCTCTTCCTCAACGCCATCTGGATGACTGTTCGAGGCTTGCGTCCCTTTGCCAACTGCTTCGCCCTACTCGCAGCCCGCTGCTCTTTGAACTTCTGCAACATGGGGTCCCCCTTCCGCAGAGTGGAGTAGATCGCGAGGGTAATCATTCGCGATGTCCTCACCCTGCAGATAAAGCGTCTTACCTTTGCCAGGTTGCACTGCTTACCACACCGTGTGCACGTGTACATGGTAGAAGGCTGGCGCTTGATGAGTACAGATGTCTCGCTGTCCTCCAGCACACGGCATACTGCATTGCGTGTACTTTTGGACTGCTTTGCCACCCACCGTTGGTGAACCTGCCATGCTCGAACTCGGCCAACTCGAATTTTGGCCGACATGGTTGTGTGTCAGAGATTCTCTCGAATCGCTTCTTTGGACTTACCTGGCGGCGTTCCCCCGTTGCAGTACCTCCAGTGTACCCTCGCCTCTTGAGCTCGCGCACATGCCGTCTCAGCCGTCGGCATCCACGCGCAAGAGGGACATTTGAGATGAGCTCTTTTGGAAAAATCCACTGGTGGGGTATCCTCCACTGCTGCTTGATACTTATCATCAGGGACTACATCATCCTCCGCTCCAATTAAGCTTCGCGCTTCTGCAATCTCCTTATTTGTCTTTGATGTCTTGGCCGTCTTGATGCTCTTGGTCGACCCGCCGAACAGTGACTTAGCTCTCCTCGCCGTGGAATCCTCAGACACTTTGGAGCAAGCACCGAACAAGCTTCGAGCATCCTCATCATCCATTTCTGGTACTGCTTTAGAAGATGAAGATGATGAGTCCCGCGCTCCCCATCCGCCAGCAAAGACATCAGGATGTGGTACGGCCCCTTCCCTCCACGTTCTTTTCCAACTCGGGCGTGAAACTTTCTTTGGCCACCAAAAGACAAAAATGCTTATCCTCCAGCGAGAGCCATACTTCCTTTTTGTACTTAGTAAGGCTGGTGTATAGCGTCCACCTGCCCTGCGTAGCGTCCACAGCAGTCTATACTTCCATATTGCCACGTCAGCTTTAAGCGCGGTCGCAGTAGCACGTACACACATTGTGTCCGACATCTTCCCAGACGTGTTGATACGCTCAATGTCCTGAGGTGTAGCCCCATACTTAATCATGCTCGCCTTCACGACAAGCATCCTCAATTCTCTCTGAGCTTTAGCCCCTGGTTTCTTGTCCGCATCGCTGAGTACTTTGGGTTTGGCCTGCGCATTGTTCAATCCAACACCGCAGGCAATCAAATAGCAATCACCCTCACCTCTCAAGTCTTCCTGCTCCATGTGTCCCTGCCACGGTGGAAATTGTGGTAGGAGTAGTATCTTCTGCTTGGGCTCTCCTCCCTCGCGTGCTGGTCTGCAGATCTCCGTTCGGCGTCAGCTCCCTCACCACCAGCGGGGTTGGCCGGTGGCTCAGGTGGAGGTTGGTCAGGTGGAGGTGCATCTTCATCCAGATCAATATCCTCTCCCTTTGGCGGTAGCCCTCTGCACCGCCCACGCCGTTACTTCGTCTGGATGCGACCATTCTGGCGGAGCCCTCTGCATGGCCCACCTCGGTAGTAGATTGCATCCTCCAATCTGCTTGTCACTGAGCACTCCAAGCGGGGCGTCGTCCGACGGGCGGTACAAGATGCGTCCAGCAACTTCAGCTAGCACTTTTCCCGGTACTCTGAGTTCGTCTCCTCGTCTCCTCCTCCCTCCTGCTGAAACAGCGCGGTAGAAAAGTCGTCTTCTGGTAGTTGAGGAAAACACCTCTGGGCAACTCCGCCTTCAATAGGGCATCCACTTGATGTGACTTCATTATCAGTAATATCGTAATCTCGGACTCGTAGTTGATCGCACCTTTGGTTCGCACGATGTGCTTGGTGAGCTCTGCATTCAGAACCACACTCGGTAACGATGCTGGTTTCTGAGCCGCCCTCCCAAACACATCATCGTCGCTGAAATCTTTCGCGCAAGTCAAGCGAAGGAGCGTAATCGGCGTAGGTGTTGGCGGCACGTACGACGTCGCGTCGTCTTTGACCCAATCGGGTAACCCTGTTCTCTTGGGTGCCTCTCGGCCTGCAGTGATGATCTGGCAAGTCATTGGCTTCGTCCCAACCTCTGCGTGGATCAGCACCTCTTCTTTGACTGCTTCCTCAGCGAGAGCCTCATCACATACTTCACACATGGCAAAGCTACCTGACTCTCCACAAGTAGCTGCCATCCATTGTCGTGCTGCACGAAACTCACCCATGTTGTTGCAAATGATCACTGGCGGCTTTTCATAGACTCTGTCGATTAAGGACACTGCTGGCCACAGCGGTGAATACCCCCAGTCGGACTGAATCAATCTCGGAGTAGGTTTCTTCATTCTAGTATTTGGCCTCGATGCTGGTGATGACGCATCTGACCCGTTCGGTGGACCAGCAGCTCCGCAACGTTCCCGCAACTGTTGCATGAGCTGATCTTGTCAATCATGCGACAACAAATTTTGAGAACCAGAGGCCCCTTGTTCTCTCGCATCTTCTTTTGCTTCTTGGGGGCGCGGGCTGCTGCACCTTGAAGCCACTCTCCGACAGTTGTCCTCTCGCCCGTGCTGCCGCGCACAATCGATTCACCGTTGCAGTAAGACGCTCGATCTGGCCATTCATCTGTTCCACTTGATGTCCCCGTCCAAGCTTCGCACTCTGGCCACCTCTCCCTCGACCTCCGCCCACCAGAGGATCCTCACAAAATTGCTTTTCGGCGATGCCATCCCCTCGCATCACCTCGAAGCAGAATGGAACTCCTCACCCAGGGCGAAGATCTCCACTTCTGCAGCGCTGATCTGCGCCAGGATGGCGCGCTTGTCGCTGTACTCTGCCTCAGTACGGGGAACTGTCCCGTCACTGCCACTGCGGAGGCGCACAGCCTTGATGATGATGATGTTGCGAGAGGCCTCTCGGTAGCCTCGTGAAGGCAGTTTTGAAACCTCTTGGAATCCCCGTGGAACAATATCACACGGAGACCGCACAATGCGATACACATAGATATGTGTATATATGTATTTGTATGTATGTATGTGTATATATATACATGTATACATGTTTGCACCTCTCTCTCTCTCTCTCTCTCTCTCCTTCTCTTTCTATTTATACACGCACTCACGCGCGCGTGCATGGGTAAATGCGTCAGAACTGCATGCGTGTCGATGTGCAGACTACTTCGGTCGACGAGTAAGTGGGTCTCGTCTTACTGGGATACTGCACGTGCGTACGCGCGCGAGTGCGCGTGCGTGCGCGCAGTGGCTTCCAGTTTTCGCGCTCGGTAGTCTTTGGTGCCTGATAGGCCCAGCGCCGCCGCGCGCGCCTCCCGCGCACGGCTTGCGCGCGCGGTTTCCCAGGCTGGATCATGCGTTTGGCCCACGCGTCGGGGGGACGTCCCCGGCGGCCCGGGGCGCCAGGGCGGTCGCGGGGACGTCCTTGGCGGTCTGGTTTGGCCCGCCTTCCTTTTGTTTTCTATATGCGCATCACACAGTTGGAAGTATTTCTAAAAACTGTCCTCCCATATTTTTTAACATGCTTTTTGAACCGTCTGGGCGGCTTCTTGAGGGTCTCTTGGCCCGGCTTGGGGCCCTCTTGGCTCACACAAATTCATGCGGGAACACTCGACACATTCCAGAGGACTCGCGGGAACCCCCAAGAGATCTGAATTTGGGTCCAGCTGCCTAAAATGATTCCCAGGATTGAAGACTGAGGCTCAGGGGTTGAGCAAGGGACCCGGGGACACTCCACTTCGTGCTACAGGGGCACGGCGGCGGATAATTCTCGGAATCGCAGGAGCGGGTGGGCAGGCGGACGCAGTCGGGCGGGCGGAGCACTAAAGCGGGCGGGCCATCATCTAGGCGAGCGGGTGGCCCTTCAAGGTCGTCGGCCGTGCGCGGCCCGACGGGCGGACGGGCCCGACCTGCCGGGCGGGCAGGGCGTCAAAGCGGGCGGGTCATCGCGCAAGCGAGCGGGCGGACCCTGACGGGCGGGCGGGTCTCGACGGGCGGGCGGGCGGACTCCAACGGGCTGGCGACGGGCGGGCATCGCGCAAGAGAGCAGGGCGATGCGCGGGCCGGGCGGAGCGGGTCAGGCGAAGAGGACCCCGGGCGGAGAGGGCTGGGCGAGCTGGGCCACGGGCGAAGAAGACTTTGTGCGAAGAGGGCCTCGCGCGAAGAGGGCTGGGCGAGGAGGGCCGGGCGAGGAGGAACCGGGGCGAACAGTGCCTCTGTGGTTTTTTTTGGGGGGCGGTTTGGACACAAGGTTTGGAGGGGTCCCCCGACGACGGGGGGGGGTTCAGCTTGTTGTTCCCCGCGCTTTTTTATCGTATTCGGGTTTGAGTGATTCCATTGGCGCTGGAGGCCGTGGTGTCGGCCCCAGCGGGGTGGTTCGCCTGCGCGCGAGGAGACGCGTCCATCTTGTACAAGTACATCAACAAGAACATGATCGCTGTGGCCTCCGAGGCTGCTCCAACTGCGCTCGGGGACCTCTGCCTTCCGTGAGAGGTCACCGGGGGACATTCTTGTTGTGGCAGTGCTGGGGGAAAGGTGAGTCGCTCGTCGCCTTCCTTTGTGCACGATTCGCGCTTCCGCGGCCCGGCAGCCGCTCCGGCCGCGGTGCGTTCTCGTCCCTGACTGGTATCCTTGTGAGCACTCTCCACGGTTGGGTCAATTAGGGTGACGATTGGTCAAACCAGAGGGAAGCGGATCGACGATTGGCCTTGCGGGGGTTGAATGTTCCATGTTCGGCCGCCCGTCGCGTGTGAACGCAGGTCCAGTGGTGCTCGGTTCGGATACCAGCGCACATCGGGGGACCTCTGATTATCCACTCCAGCCTTCCCTGCGTTCTGCCGGGGCTGACGCACAAGCAAGGTCGTTGCGATTATCTATTTATGCACACGTACCATCTGCAATCCACATGTGTGATCAACGTGATTTTGGGTGTGAGTCTGACCTGTGCTCCATATTCTACATGGTCGTTGCTCGTTCGACAGTGGTTTCCGGGATCGCTTTTCTGGTGTTTCATCAAGTCAACGCGCCCATTTTCTCTGGCCGCCTTTTCACCGACGCGTGTCTTTCCCCGCTAGGTGTGCCCATCCGCCAACCCTGCTCCTGCTTCTCTCCCTATCTTCGGGCTTGGGCCATTCTAGCCTGGGACATCTTTCTGTTTTTTTCGAGAAGCCAGGAAGACACCGCATTCTGTCTCAAGGTCTGTGCTTCTCTTCTGCCAACCTCCAGGGAACCACCGTGAGGCTTCATTGGGCTTTTTTCCCCTGTAGGAGCCTCTTCTCGGCTTCTTGGCCTGTGGGGGGCACCTTTCGGCTTGTCCCAGGGAATGCTAGACACACACTCAGACACACACACATATATATATATGATATTATATCATAGTATATTATACCATCTTATATTATAGTATAGTACAGTATAGTATATTATACCATCTTATATAATATTATATTATATTATATCATATTTTATTATATTATGTTATATTTTAGTATGTGTATGTTATATTATAGTATAGTATATTATATGATTGTATGTTATATTATATTATATTATAGTACAGTATGTTATATTATGTTGTTTCATCCCTTTTTATAGTATAGTTTAAAATAATATATTATATTGTATTGTATTACATTTTCGTATACTATATTATATCATTTTACAGTATGTTATATTACATTATTTGATAGTATACATTATATCATTTTATTTTATGTTATATTTTGCATATTATATTTTATCATTTTTATTCTACTATATCGCATTATATTATGCTATACGATATTATATCATATTCGAGTACGTTATACTATATTATACTATAGCATAGTCTAGTATATTATATCATATAATATTCTATTATATTATATTATAGTATATTATATTATTTTATGTTAAATTATATTGTATTTCATCATATTATATCACATTCTATTCTATTTCATAATATTATGTTATATTATGCTATATCATATAATATAATATAATATAGTATAATATGATATAATATAACATAACATAATATAATACAATATATGGTATTGTTTTTATTATAGTATATTATATTATATATACATACACACGTATGTATGTATATTGTATATTTTTGTAGGACCGGGGACCCCAGAAAAAACGCCCCCCCCGCACCTAACGAATTTCGGACTCCCCGGGCTGCTTGAAGCCCCCCTCAGGCTGCTTGGACGCCCTTGCAAAGGGTTCCGTCGGCCTTCCGGCCTTCTCGCAAGGTCCAAAGAGGGCTCCAATATTGCCCAAGACAGCTCGTCGACAGTTCCAAAGCACACCAAAACCTTCAACATGGCTTCCAAACGCCCCAAGCGGCCTCCAAGAGGCTTCCCAAGAGGGCCCGAAGAGGCAACATTCATTGATTTTTCAATGGTTTGTGACGATTTTTTCGGGCTTCTTTTTCTGGGACAAGAACGGCCCACGACGGCCCAAGAGGCTCCAAAGATCGTCCCAACACGGCCCCAGAGGCCACCAAGGGCTCGAAAACGGCCCAAGAGGGCCCCTAGACGGCCCAAGAGGGCCTGAAAACTGCCAAGGTAGCCCCAAACGGCCCCAAGAGAGCCTCAGGAGCACCCCGAGAGGCTCCCAAGAGGGCCCCAAGAGGCCTCCAAGACAGCCCGAAGACGGCCGAAGGCCTCCAAGACGCCCCAAGACGGTCCGAAAGGGCCCCCAAACGGCCCAAGAGAGTCCCAAAACGGCCCAGAAGGGCCCCCAAGAAGGCCCAAAGGGGCAACATTCATGGATTTGTTGGAAAACCAGAAGTTTTTTCCCGTTTTCGCTTTTTCGGGCCACGAACGGCCCAAGACGGCCCAAGAGCGTTTTTCTGGAATTTCCCTGTAAGGCAATTATTGCACGGATGTAGACATCGTTTAACAATAAATTACCGTGTGAAACGAGCGTCAAACGCTCTTGGGACGTTCAGACGTTGGAAGGCGTTGTCATTTGATATCCATACATACACATGCACATGCATACATACGCAAAATAAATTCACATGTGCACACACATCCCCCCCGAACGCATTTCGGACTCCCCGGACTGCTGGGAAGCCCCTTCCCGGGCTGCTCGACCTGCTGGGAAGCTCCCCGGGGGCTGCTCGGACGATCTTGCAAGGGAGTTCTTCGACCTTCCAGCCTGAGGTGTTCAGACCATTCTTCGCTTGAGACTCCCTCGCGAAGCTGACTTCGGAGATGCCCTGCCCCATAGTGCTCGGGCCAGTTTCGCCTGAGACATCCTCGCAACGTCAACCTCGGATACGCCTTGCCGCGTAGCAATCAGACACGTAGCACTCCGACACGTTCACAAGGCCTCCAGATTTTTCACAAAGGTTCAAGCGGCGCCCGTCGTTGAGTCCCTTTCACCGCTCTCGGAGGCCAGCTCCCAGCGTCTTGCATCCGCGTCAGTTCTAGCCTCCATGCCATGACTTCCGATCCTGAGCGTTCGTGCATGCCTGTCCTCGGGTCCGCGGGACTCCTCCCATTACTCTTTCCCTTCGCCTTCCTCCTTCCCAATGTCGGTTGAGACATCCTCGCAACTCTGACCCCAGAGAAGCCCTGCCCCAATTGGTTGTCCGGCCATATCCGCTTGAGACCTTCTCGCAACTCTGGGTTCCGGGGTTCCTTGAGCTGAGGTGTTCCGGCCACTTTCGCTAGAAACATCCTCGCAACTCTGGACTCCGAGATGCCCTGCCGCAGAGTAGTCCGCCACTTTCACCTGAGACATCCTCGCAACTTTGGATTCAGGGATGCCCTGAGCTGAGGTGTTCAGGCCATTCTCGTTTGTGACATCCTCGCAATTCCGGGTTCGGGTATGTCCTCAGCTGAGGTGGTCAATTCATTTTCGTTTGAAAAATCCTCGCAACGCTGACATCGGATATGCATTACCCCGTAGAAGTCTGGCTACTTTCGCCTGAGACCCTCGCACCTCGGAGTTGCGAAATGCCCTGAGCAGGCGGTCAGGTCATTACCGCTTTCGATACGCATGTGTATGCGCACCCATAATTACATATAGGTGCGTGCACCAACAAACACCTGCGGTTGACATATTCATCTGCGTACACATGCTTATATGTACTATGTATCCATACATATAACAGTATACGTGCGTGGTATACACATAGCTATATGTGCAGCGCGTGCATGCGCGTGCGCGTGTATACATGCATGCGCGCATGTACGCAGGCACGCACCCCGCGTGCGTGCGAAACTCAGAGGACCAAGGTGCATGGCGCGCAGCGCCAATGCAGCATTGTGTGTGTATATATACCCGCGCACGAGGCCCGGGGACCCAAGGCCCGGGCCTCGAGAGCGCATGGGAGGACTGTGGCCTCCGAGATCGTTCCCGGAGCACCCCGGAGGGCAGAGAGCCCCAGGACAGGCCTGAGTGGGGCCACAGAGCGGGAGCGGGAGGCCCCAAGGCGGCTCGAAGACGGCCCAGGTGGCCCCAACGTGGCCCCAGATGGGTCCAACATGGCCAATACACAGCCCACGAGGCCTCCACGATGCCCCAGGAGAGCTCCGAGAGGCGTCCCGACAAAACCCGAAGAGGCCCACATCCCCGATTTCCCATCGTTTTTTCAATGTTGTTCGCTCTCTCGCGGTCTCGAGCTACCAACGTTCCAAGACGGCCGAAGACGCCCTGAAGATCGCCCCAAGACCGCCGAAGAAGCCACCAAAGGAACCCCAAGACGGCCCCGGAGAACTTGAAGACTGCTCCAAGAGGCCGAGAGAGACCAAAGAGGCCCAAATCATTGATTTGCATTGGTTTGTTCGATGTGTTTCGCTCTCTGGCGTTCTTGAGCTTCCAATGCGCCAGTACAGCGTTTCGTCGACCCATAGGGAGCTCCACCCAAGGCCCCAGTGGGGGTGGCCACATGGGCCCGCCATACCCAATACAGCGTCTCGGGGCCCCACAAGGAACTCCACGTGAGGCCCCAGTGGGGGTGAACACATGCGTCCGCCACACCCAGTGCAGCGCTTCGTGGCCCCATAAGGAACTCCACGTAAGGCCCCAGTGGTGGTGGCCACATGCGTCCGCCACACCCACTACAGCGTTTCGTGGCCCCATGGTGAGCTCCACGTGTGGCCTCAATGGGCGTGGCCACATGCGTCCGCCACACCGACTACAGCGTTTCGTGGCCCCATGGTGAGCTCCACGTGAGGCCCCAATGCGGGTAGCCACATGCGTCCGCCACACCCAGTACAGCGTTTCGTCGCCCCATAGGGAGCTCCACGCAAGGCCCCAATGGGGGTGGCCGCATGCGTCCGCCACACCCAGTACAGCGCTTCGTGGCCCCATAGGGAGCTCCACGTGAGGCCCCAGTGGGGGTGGCCGCATGCGTCCGTCACACCCAGTACAGCGCTTCGTGGCCCCACAGGGAGCTCCACGTGTGGCCTCAATGGGCCTGGCCACATGCGTCCGCCACACAC